TCCTGCTCCTCCTCCTCTCCTCCTCCTCCTCCTCCCCCTCCCTCGCCTCCTCCTCTCTCTCCTCCTCCCCCCTCTCCTCCTCCTTTTCCTCCCCCTGCTCCTCTCCCTCGCTCTCCTCCTCCTTCTCCTCCTCCTCCTCTTCCTCCTCCTCCTCTTCCTCCTCCTCCTCTTCCTCCTTCTCCTTCTCCTCTTCCTCCTTCTCCTCCTGCCCGCCCTCGCAATCCCCCTCCCTCCACCCTCCCTTTAATCTTGACCCATCGGCGGCTCTTCGATCGCCAAACCGTTCCATCAGAGGCCTCCTAGATTCGGGTGTTGCTGGAAGTGCTCCTGGCCAAAGGCGCCCCAAGGATTTCCAAGGAGGCACTAACAACCTCCAGAGCACCCCAAACGAGGCCCAGAGGGCCCCATGGGGTCCAGAATTGAGCGAAAAGCTGGGGACACCTTGGGCAAGGGGCACCTTTAGCAACCCCCGATAGATGGGCTCCGAGGAGACGGGGTCGGAGGATCGCGCCGCATCGGCGATGCATCGGCGATGCACAGGCGACGTCGCCGATGCATCGGCGATGTCGGCCTGGGGAAATCGGGCTCCACATCGAGCCGCATCGCCGATGCATCACCTATGCGGTGCGATCCTCCGACCCCGTCTGCTCGGACCCCCCTCAGGGAGGCCTGGATCCGGCGACTCTGGTCTGGAGGATGTATCGGGCGCCCCGCGGCACTCCCAGAGCGTCCCCGAACGCTGTGAAGGGATCCATCCGCGTACACCGGACGACCGCCAGATCATTCCAAGACCCCATCTGGGAGGCCTCGAGCCGGCGACTCTGGAGGACGCATAGGGCGCCCCGCGGCCTTGTCAGAGCGCTGCGGAACGCTCTGGAATGGATTCGTCCTCGTCCTGGCCCCGTCCGACGACCGCCAGATCGTGAACGTTTTCGTGTTCGGCGTTTCGACCTTGGGCGGAAGGGGGGGAGGGGGGGGGGCCTGGCTCTGGACCTCTACTCTGCTTGCTGCGACTGTCTGCAACAGTGCGTCCCACGGGGGAGCGGCTCCACCTCCTTGAGACAGGCGCCCCCCCAAAACAGCCAAGACCTACTCCAGGGGGGAGGGGGCGGGAGGGGGGTGCGAGGGCCCACGGCCCGCGCCGATCGGCAAAACAACGAATAACAAACGGTCAGGGCGGATGTTGGAAGAAACATTAAAACAACATAGCCAACACAAACTCTCAGATGGTCAAATATGCTCGAAGCACCCTCCCCAGACTATTGTTTCTGTGACTACTTCTGGACACTCCTCCTGTGGAGGGACACGCCCGGCGGAATCCTGGCCCCGTCCGACGGCCGCCAGACCATTCCCAGCAGGCTGCCGCTGGGCCCCGCTTCGCCGCCCCGAACGCCGCTGGCGCCGCCAACTCTCCTTCCTGCTGCGGCAAAGCCGCAGCCTCGGACGACGGCGACGCTGACACCGAGGAGGCGAGGAGGAGGAGGAGGAGGAGGAGGAGGAGGAGGAGGATGAGGAGGAGCAGGAGGAGGAGGAGGAGGAGCAGGAGGAGGAGGAGCAGGAGCAGGAGGAGGAGGAGCAGGCCGACGTCAGCGCGCTGTCGAGCGAGTGGCAGGCCCAGCCTGCAGCTTTGGGCTGCCTAGGGGCCCGCATGGCGGCGGCGCGCTCGCGCTGCATCGGCGATGCGGCGCGTCCTCCGACCCCATCTGCTCCGACCCCATCTAGGAGGCCCAAACCCCTCCTGCTGGGCCTCCCGCACAGGGCAATTTTTAATACATAGGACTTTTAAACATATAGGATTTTAATCCATGATTAATTCATGAATCAATTTATGCATGAACACATCGTTGTTTTTAATACTACATCCCTGCATTTTTAATCCATGGGCCGCACGCGGAGCATATATCAAACAAACGGCACTGTAGGAGCCCCTCGCCGCCGCGCCTCCGCACCCAACCTGGTATCCATGTACAACCCCAGGGTTTCGACCACAAGTGGCCTGGGGGGTCGACGATCTGGGCTCAGTCGGCTCCGCCCACTTGGCGGAGTTACCTAGCCCCCCTGAGCCACTCGGGGCATTTGTGGCCCACTTGCAATCTAGGTTAGGCCCGACATGACCCACCTTGGCATCCATTGACAACCCGCCTATCGCCTCAACACCACCCGCGCCCATCCCCGCACCCCTGCAGGCCAGATCTTTGCAAACGGGCCGGGGCTCAACATTTGAGGGATGCCCAGCGGGGACACCCCCGAGGCGCAACGACAAGGGGGGGGTGACTGGCATAGGGCATAGGGGGGAAGCATCGACCCGGAATCGGCGATGCATCGCCGACAGATCGGCGATAGGCCCTGAAATTCGCCGGCCCAACGGGCCAGAGGCGTGCTAAGATCTCCGGTAACTTGTTAACAATATTTCTAGTTCGCGCGCGCGGAGCGGCCCCTGGGGGCCCCCGGACGAAAAGTACCCCGGCAAGGTCCTGAGAGAAGCCCGGGGGAAGCCACCAGACCAATCCAGGGGAGGGTATTTTTCGACACCCCTCACGAGGATCGTGGCCTCCGAGGGGGGAGCCGCAATCGACTACCCCCAAGAGCCCCCCAAGAGGCCCTGGGGGCCTCCAAAACGCCGCCAAGGAGCCCCAAGAGACTCCCAAGAGGTCCCCAAGAGGCCCTAAAGAGGGCTCCAGGGCCGGCGGCATGAGCGAAGCGATTAAATAATGAATCCGCACGATCCTGGGCAGGTTGGGGCTATCGGGCCCCTATCGGCGATCAATGGGCGATTAGGGGTCGATGCATCCCCTCCTATGCCTATCCACCCTATTGTTGCTCCCGAACCTGCTTTTCGACACATCCAGCGGAGGCCAGTCCACATGAAAGCTTCCACAAGAAACCCAACCCTGAGACCCGCAGGACGCCCATCGATTTTTCTGGTGTGGCAGCGTCAGGCTTCCCACAGCAAAACCATCGAAACCCGAGACATCCAGGGCACCCTGGTGGCCAGCAGGGTGTCTCTTGGCGTGGGCCTCCACTGTAGGCGATGTCGGAAACCCTGAACCCCAAGACGCTTTCATCTCTCGGAGGCGCACCTTTTACTTGCGCTGCCCTCCGCCGAGCTTCCGCTGGCGGAAGCGGCCTCGCCACGCTTCCGCCGACCTTCCGCCGCGGAAGCGATGGCAACTTCTTTTCTCCTCGGAGGCGAGGCCCGCTTGGAAGGCCCGAACAGGGGCCGGGAGGGGCCTCCGGAGGGCCCAGGCATCGGATTCTGAACAACGTCGGGCTGGACCCGTCTTCACTCAGCGAGCGAAGAACGGTATAAAGTAAACTTTTTCGCTGTCGGGGGCGCCTGTCCCTGGGCGGCTGGAAAATTTATACCCCAACGGTGCCACCGTAAGGGTATAAACTTTCCAGCTGCCCTGGGACAGGCGCCCCCGACAGCGAAAAAAATTATTTTATACCGTTCTTCGCCCGTTAATTCACGGGCGTCGATCGTGGGGCGTGTTTGGGTTGGGCGTCGCTTTATGCCGGGCGTGTCCCCCTACAGGAGAATTTTCGACGAAAGAATCAAGATACCCCAAACATGCACCAACAAGTCAAACAAACATACTCAAAGAATAATCCCCAGATCATTTTTGGAGTATTTTTCCATTATTTTTGGTTTTCGTCGAAAATCCCACTGTAGGGGGACAGGCCCGACATAAGCGTCGCTTCACGAAGGGGCGATGCATTGGCGGATTTGGACTGGGCGTCGCTTGCCGGGGGGGCGATCAATGGGGGGGGGGAGGGGGGGAAGAACGGCGCCCTTCTCGGGCGCCTCCTTCTGGGCCCCGAAGGGCTCCTTTGCCCTCGCCGCTCCCCCCAGGTTCAATCGCCCACTCCACTGCGCGACGCCCAGCCGATCTGGAGCGGACCGGGGCCGGATGAGGGAGCCACCCCTGCTCCGGAGGCGGCCAAGGAGTCTGAACTGGATGGACCTGGACTTAGGTCCGGCCTGTCCCCCTACAGGGGGATTTTGGACCGAAGATAAAAAAAAACAAAAACAAAAATTCAAAATGGCAAAACATACAAAAAAAAAAAGAAACGTCCCCAGACTATTTTTCGACTATTTTTGAACATTCCCCCTGTAGAGGGACAGGCCCGACTTAAGCCTAGACAACATCGATCAGGACCCCAGATCCGCCTTTGAGGGTCCAGGGGCCCGAAAGCGGCCCCCAGAGACCGAGGGAGACAACAGACATGCTTCTCGGACCCAGATTCTCGGGCCTCCTCCTCCTCCTCCTCCTCCTCCTCCTCCTCCTCATAATAATAATAATAATAATAATAATAATAATAATAATAATAATAATAATAATAATAATAATAATAATAATAATAATAATAATAATAATACAATACTAATAATAATAATATAATACTAATACTAATAACTAATAATAATCATCATCATCATCATCCATCGTCATCGTCATCATCGTCATCGTCATCGTCATCGTCATCGTCATCGTCATCGTCATCGTCGTCATCGTCATCGTCATCTTCTCGTCATCGTCATCGTCATCGCGTCATCGTCATCGTCATCGTCATCGTCATCGTCATCGTCATCGTCATCGTCATCGTCATCGTCATCGTCATCGTCATCATCATCATCATCATTATCATCATCATCATCATCATCATCATCATCATCATCATCATCATCATCGTTATCAGCACTACAGTCATTATTATCACCATCGCCACGACAATCATCATTATCAGCATTCACATGAACATCAGCATCACCACCATCGTCGCCACCACCACCAAAATCAGCATCGTCATCGTCCTCATCGTCATCATCGTCGTCGTCGTCGTCATCGCCATCGTCATCGTTACCACCACCACCACCACCACCATCACCACCAATGCCACCATCGTCACCATCATCCGGACGCCCGCAGAGAAACCGCCCAGGAACGCACGCCGTGCCGCACTCTCTGCGTGGCCACCGGCCGGGGCCGCGGGGGCGCCGTCGTCCGGCGGCAGCAGGCTGGAGGCAATCCGCTGCACCTGCGCCGCGCCGCTCCCTCCGCCCCACCGGCTACACACGCAAGACGGACCCTGCTGCAGGCCCGTGCCCTGACGACCCCAGCGCTGGTTTCTCGAGGCGACGAGGCCAGGACGAGGACAGCATCGGGCGAGGACACATCGAGAGTCTCCGAGACCCGGCGGTTCCTGAGAAGGCCTCGGGCGCCGCGGCCTTCTCAGGGCGCCGCGGAACGCTCTGAGAGCGTTCCAGAACGCTCTGGAACGGATTTATCCTCGTCCTAGTCCCGCCCGTCCAGATTCTGAAGCCGCGTGGATCGTTCAACCTCGAGCGGTCGGCGGTTCTTGAATCGCAGAGTCGTGCCGTGCTGGCCGATTCTGGGTCGCTTGCGGCGCTCAGCCTGGAACGCCTGGGGCGGGTTCGCAGCCGCGTCGGCAGAACACAAAGTTGCCATACACGCAATAAGCGATGGGCCGATTTGGGTCCGAGTAGGACCGTGCTCCGCTGGACCTTCCAGGAGCCTCCGAGGGTGGCGAACGCTGGAACGGTCGGCGATTTTTCAATCGCAGAGTCGTGCCGTGCTGGCCGGCTCTGGGTCGCCTGCGGCGCTCCGCCTGGGACGCCTGCGGCGGGGTCGCAGCCGCGGCGGCAGGACACGACGTTGCCATACGCGCCATAAGCGACGGGCCGATTCTCCACCACCACTACCTCAGGTAGAAGAGGGGGGGAGAGAAGAAGGGGGAGTTGGAGGAGGAGGAGGAGGAGGAGGAGGAGGAGGAGGAGGAGGAGGAGGAGGAGGGAGGAGATGATGAGGAGGAGGAAAGGAGAATGAGGAGGAGGAGGAGAGAGGGAGGGAGGGGAGGAGAGGAGGAGGAGGAGGAGGAGGAGGACCTGTGGTAATTAGCGGTGGCGGAAAATGTGCCCATCAATAAGGGCCATGGGAGTCTTTTGGGGGGCCGCTCGGGGATCCACATCCAATCGCGCAAGCCGGCGCCAAGGGGCCACCCATGTTAGGGAAACCACGAGGCACCGGTACCGCTTCCTCCTGTGAGCCAAGGGGGGTTACCTCTGTGGGCCCGCACCAAAAAGGTTGGCGGCGCGCAGAAGGGGGGAAAGGGGAAGGCTTCTTAGAAGGAGGCTGCTTCTTAGAAGGCGCCGGCCCTACATTTACAGAGAAGGCCCGCGCCTTCTAAGAAGCAAGGTTGTTTCTAAGAAGCCTGCCCCCTCCCCCTACCCCACCTCTGCACTTAGCAGGAGGGAAACGGATCCTGAGGGAAACGAGTCCTGGACCCTGGGGCCTTCCTTCCCCCAAGACGATTTCTTTATCCTGAGTCGCTTTCAAACAGTCCCGGGGCCCGTCGACGGCCCCGTGAGCCCGAAGACGGCGACAAACCTCAGGACCACTTGCACCACCACCTGGTTTGTCGGCTTGGGGCACCACTCCGTTGGACCTCCCAGAGGCTCACGAACGTCGCGAACTTTGCGCGGTTGGCAGTCCCCAAGGAAGCGATGCCTCATCTGGATCCACGTAGGACGCCACTCCGCTGGACCTTCCAGGAGCTCACAAAAGTGGGGACAGTTGCACGGTTCGTAGACCCCAGTGAAGGCGATGTCTGATTCGGGTCCGCGTAAACGTAAGACCTCACTCCGCTGGACCGCCCAAGAGCTCCGGAAAATGGCGAAAATTACACAACTGGCAGCCCCCAAGAAATGCGAGGTCTCACTCGGGTCCGCGTAGGACCGCAGTCCGCTGGCCCTCCCAGGAGCTCACGAAAGCGACGACGGTTGCACAGTTGGCAGCCCCCGGGGACGGCGAGGTCTCACTTGGGTCCGCGTAGGACCGTGCTCCGCTGGACCCTCCAGGAGCCTCCGAGGGTGGCGACACTTGCGCCCTTGACAGTCCCGAAGGACGGAAGGCGATATCCCGTCTGAATCCGCGCAAGACCGTGCACTGCTGGACATCCCAGGAGCTCACGCAAGAGGAGGCCATTGCGGGTCGCCGCCGCTGGCGGCGTTTACCTGCTTGCGCTTGCCCGCGAGCCGGGCGGATCCCCGCGGGCGCGAGCGCCTTCCTCCTCCTCCTCCTCCTCCTCCTCCTCCCCCCTCCTCCTCCCCCCTCCCTATCCATCTCCTTCCCACCTGTCCTGTCCTCTCCTCTCCTCTCCTCTCCTCTCCTCTCCTCTCCTCTCTCTTCGCTCCTCGCTCCTCGCTCCTCGCTCCTCGCTCCTCGCCCTCGCCTCGCCTCGCCTCGCCTCGCATACGTTGCGCCTCGCCTCGCCTCTCTCTCCTCTCCTCTCCTCTCCTCTCCTCTCCTCTCCTCTCCTCTCCTCTCCTCCTCCTCTCCTCCCGCTCCTCCCACTCCTCCTCCTCCTCCTCCTCCTCCTCCTCCTCCCCCTCCCCCTCCCACTCCTCCTCCTCCTCCTCCTCCTCCTCCTCCTCCTCCTCCCATCCGTATCTCTGTGTCGCCTGGCACTGGCCGCCCTGCGCCGCGTCCAGCGCCGCCGGCCCAAGAACTGTCTCCGAATGCCTCAATTCAACATTCTGCTTATCAACCCTGCTGGTCGGTCTATCGGTCCCGCTCTCTCTGCCTCTCTCTTTGCTTCTGTTCTCCTCTCTCTCTCTCTTTCTGTGTGTCAAGGTATCCATCCATCCATCCATCCATCCATCCATGAATTTATGCATCCATCCATCCATCCATCCATACAGACACACATACATACATACATACACACATACATACACACATACAGACATACATACAGACATACATACATACATGCTTTCATACATACATACATACATACATACATACATACATACATACATACATGCATACATACACACATACACACCACTATACATCCCTATGTGCATACACATGCATACAAACATTACACTACATTGCATTGCATTGCATTGCATAACATTCCATTACATCACATTGGATGGCGCTACGTTACGTTACACTACATACACACATACCCACACACATACAGACATACACACATGCATGCATGCATACATACACACATACACATCACACTGCATCACATTACATTGCGTTGCATTACATTGCTTTACGTACATACATGCAGACATTTCGACATCCATACATACACACATGCATACATACATACAGCCATACAAACATGCATACACACATGTATACACACATACATGCATGCATACATACGTGCATACACACATCCGCATATACATACATACAACCAACTATACACACACACATCTGTATTTGCATATGTATGTGTGCATATATATATATACATATATATATATATATATATATATATATATATATTTATACACTAGAACCACGCGCGCGCTTCGCGCGCGCTTAGGTTCTGTCGGGTCACAGACCCAGGAATCCTCCTCCTCCTCCTCCTCCTCTTCCTCCTCGTCTTCCTCCTCATCCTCGTCCTTTCCCGAGCGATACAATAACAACTTGCGTGGAACCCCTCTCGGGCCCATCTTGGGGCTCTCTTGGGCCGCCTTTGGAGCCTCTTGGGGCGTCCTGGGTCTCTCGTGGGGGCTTCTTGGAGCTCTCTTGGCGCCTCCTGGAGCCTCTTGGGGCCGAAAGCTCGGAATTCTACAGTGGCTTTCTCCCTCTGGGACCCCTCTCGGGCACGCCTTGGGGCTCTCTTAGGCCATTTTGGAGTTCAATTTTGCCGTCCTGGGCGCCTCGTGAACCGTCTTGGAACTCTCTTGGGGGCCACCTAGGCCGTCTTGGGAGCCTCTTCGGACGTGTTGGACGCGGTGAAAACCCAACAGGCGACCATGCGAAAAGTATACGTTTTCCCATAGGAATGGGACCATTTTTGCTTCTTGGACCTCTCTTGGGGTGCCTCTCGGAACGTCTTGGGCTGATTTTGGAAGCCTTTTGGCGCCTCTGGGCGGCGTTTTGGCGCCTCCTGGGATGTGTTGGGCCGGAAGCTCGGAATTCGAGAGTGGCTTTCTCCTTCTGGGACCCCTCTCGAAGTCGTCTTGGGGTTCTCTTGGGCCGTCTTGGGGCCGTCCTGAGCCACTCGTGCGCAGCCTTGGAGCGCTCCCGGAGGCCTCCTAGGCCGTCTTGGAGGCCTCTTGGGCCGTCTTGGACGCGGTGAAAGCCCAAGATGCGAACATGCGAAAAATATACGTTTTCCCATAGGAATGGCACGATTTTTGTTTCTTGGACCTCTCTTGGGGTGCCTCTCGGAACGTCTTGGGGTGCTTTTGGGAGCCTTTGGCGCCTCTTGGCGGCATTTTGGCGCCTCCTGGAGCCTCTTGGGCCGGAAGCTCGGAATTCGAGGTTGGCTTTCTCCGTCTGGGACCCCTCTCGAACTCGTCTTGGGGCTCTCTTCGGCCGTCTTGGGGCCGTCCTGGGCCACTCGTGCGCAGCCTTGGAGCGCTCCCGGAGGCCTCGTAGACCGTCTTGGGCGCCTCTTGGGCCGTCTTGGACGCGGTGAAAGCCCAAGAGGCGAACATGCGAAAAATATACGTTTTCCCATAGGAATGGCACGATTTTTGCTTCTTGGGCCTCTCTTGGGCTGCCTCTCGGAGCGTCTTGGAGGCTTCTGGGACCTTCTTGGTGTCATGACAGGCGTCTTGGAAGGCATCTGGAGCCATCGGAGCGCGTTCCGAAGCCGCCTGCGAACGATCTTGGACGGCGTCCGGCGGTCCGACGAGCCTCCGGGCCCCCCGGGGCCCACATTTGTGGTCGAGGTCCCGGCCCCGGGCCCCCGGACCCGGTGCGCCGTTATATGTATATGTATATATATATATATATATATATATATATGTGCGTGCTCAGAGGATGTATTTCTATTGCTTTTCTGACCGTCGCCGTGCTAACTGGTTCCTCGGTTGATCGGGTTGTGGCGGCTATGGCGCGCTGTCCTTTGTGAGTTGTGAGGTCAGAGCTGATGGGGCCGGTCAGGATGCCTCTTCGGGGCCTTTTGAAAGCCGTTTGGGGGTCTGTTTTGGGCCTCTTGGGGCCCTGCTGGCGGTCTGGTCCCTCTTGGGGTGGAGGACCCGAAATCTCAACTCGATTGGACCCTTCTGGTCTCTCTTGCGGCGATTCGGGGCCCTCTTGGGCCGTCTTGGGGTGACCTGGGAGGCCTCTCGGGCCGTCGTGGAGGCCGTGACGGCAGAAACATCGCATATGTTAAACATGTATGCTTCCCCAAGAGGAATGCACCGATTGTTGTCTGTTGGAGCTCTCTTTGGGGGGCTCTTGGAGGCCTCTGGGAGCGTGTTGTAAGCCTCTTGGGCCGTTTGGAGGCCATCCGCAGCGTCTTGTACCGATCGCTCGGCGACTCGGGGCACTCTTGGACCGTCTGACAGTTTGTGTGACCCAAAAGGGGGTCCAACTGAAAAGAAGTGGTGCAATAGATATGGGGCACTTGTATTGCAAATGTATTGCGCCGGGGACCCGTATCGCACTGTATTGCAAGTAAAGTACTGCACGCGAAGATCCAGCAGTACATCTGCGCCCAGGCCTGTATTGCACGCTTCACGTGTGTTGCAGCCCCGCAAATCTGCTGCACCACCCCCTTTGCGCTGGACCCCCTTTTGGGTTCCACCCGAGGCAGGCCCTCCTGGACCGTCCTGGGGCTTCCAAGCCCAACCACGGCGCCCGCCCGCGCAGGAGGTCGAAGCATGGCCGTGTTCTTTTTCCCCCCCTCCTCCTCCTGTAGCCGTCGTCTTCTTTGTGCGCCTGCCCTTTAGCGGGCCGCTCCTCCGGGAGCTGGCGTGCAGGCCGCTCGCTCGCTCGCTTCGTGTACAGGTACCCCTAAGTTATTCGTGCAACTATACGCATAGCCTGTCCCATCTGGGCCCGCCCCGTCCTGATTCGCCCCGTCTCGTCCTGTCCACTCCAGTCCTACCCCGTCCCGTTGCGCCTCGCCTGCCAGTTCCCACTTTGCCCTCTCCTGCGCTATCTTGTCCTGCACTGTCTTGTCTTGTCCATGTTCTGCCTGTCTCTCTCTCTCTCTCTTCTGTCTCTCTCTCTCTCTCTCTCGGAGGAGGAGGAGGAGCTGTCCTCTCCCTCTTTCTGCATGCTGCACCCGTCCCGACCGCGACGTGCTGTCAGCTGCGTCTTTCTCGCCTGCGCCCCTCTGTGCCTCTTCACTGCACGGCGCCATCTTCCCCCTCGCGGGGGATCTGATGCAAAGAGTAAGTCGGGCCTGTCCTCCTAAATACAAGGGGATTTTGGGCGAAAAATAAAGAAGGTTGTCAACACATACACCAAACATGTTCAAACATAAGCAAAATATCGTCCCCAAGCTATTTTTTTACACTATTTTTGGATATCCCTCCTGTAGAGGGACAGGCCCGGCTTAAGCAAATATACGCATGGACGAGGACTGGGAGACGAGGGGCTGGAACCAGGCTCCTGGGCGTTCCCTCATAGGGGGGGGGGGAAGGGGGCGATGCATGGGGGGCGAAGAAACGGGGACCTTTCGTCCGCCTTGTGGGCGTGCCTCCGCGGAACCCTTCACGGCTCCTCTAGAACACGAACAACGAATCTTTCTCCACCCGCCGGATTACCGCCCCCTCCATGACGCAACGCCCGAGCTCGCACACCATTGGGAAAGACCGGGGACGAGCGTGGCGGCGCGAGGCAACCCGCGCAGGCAGGCACCTCCTGGTGCCCCGTGATGCCCAGATACGCACCTTCGGAGGGCACTCTCTCACCGCGGTGCCGCCGAGCGTGCCGGAGCCATGCGAAGAGAGGCCGGGCAACAAGAACCAACCAACCGCCTCGTGGGGTCACGCAAGGCTCCCCCTCCTAGTGCCCCCCCCCCTGGTGCACCAGTGGCCTTCTGAAGCACCTCATGGAGAAGCAGTGGAGATCACCAACTCAGGTTTGCTGTTCGCACGCACCATCTTCGCAATACCTCATTGCTGACGGCGGGACGGGGTGAGTTACTCCCCTCTTCGTGCGGGGTGGCTGCTGCAAGGCAACATTCCTCGGACAAACGCGCCGTCTCGTAATCCCCACGCCCTGATTCCCATTTCAATAATCAGTAGGGCTCATGTGAAACGAAGCGTGTCACTAGCAGACCTTGGCCAACTCCGAAATATACAATGCAATCGTTCCTTTAGTTATAGGTTGCCACACTGCGGTCTGAATTCTCAGAGCAACTCTAGGACGCGCTCTACGTCACTATCAACAGCACGACGAGCGAACGGAATGCGCCCCTCGTATCGTTTTTCATCACGTCTCCTTTCCTGGACAAGACATATCTATATGTACATACATGACGTACAACCTTCGAGCCATTGGCGATGGGCAGTGGCATAGCCCGCGCGTGAGCTTGACATAGAAGTGGCGTAGCCCACATGCTGAACATACATAACTCATAATTCATGCACTTCCTTCACCAATGTAACTTAGAGGCCTCCGATATGGGAACCAGTAGACGGGGTCGGAGGATCGCGCCAGATCGCCAGTGCATCGCCGATGCATCGGCGATGTATCGTCCATGCATCGGCGCCATCGGCGTGGATCAACTCTGGCTTCACGTCGAGCCGCATCGTAGATGCATCGGCGATGCGGCGCGATCCTCCGACCCCATCTGCTCGGACCCCATGTGGGAGGCCTGGATGTACTTCCTTCACGATCCTTACTGCGGGACGGCGATCGTGACTGCACGGCAAGTGTGTTCAGTGCCACCGCGAGCGCCTAGCAGCATGCACATCGGCATCATCAACATCCCGACGCTCTGCACCTCGGCCGTCTGGTGCCACCAGAAGGCGAGCAATAGAGATGGGGACGAGCGCAGTCTTCGAGACGCAAGCTCATCGAGATGGCACACGCAAACTCACGATAATGATGTCATAATGCGATTGGCTCAAGATATGCTCCAAGCATTCCGGAGAATCCAACGACCCTCGCTTCTGCACCACGTGTGGAGCACTAGGGGATCTTGGACATCGTGGAAATCTTGGAACGTACCATGATCACAACATCTGATTATCCACCGCCCCACCTGGACCCACATGTCCGACGTCGTATTGTTTCACAACGCGTCCCCCAAGAGGTCTGGACCCCTCTCCTGGAACCGGTTTTCCAGCCCGGATACAATCAAAACCCCTAATAAGGACGCGCGACTTTGCTCAGGGTACCCTTGCGTCCTTGCTCTTCCTTGCTCTTGCGTCCTTGAGGTTTTCGTCGTCCGCCGCCCCAACAATCCCAACTTCGGCTTCTCAGGGTCTTGCGTCCTTACCGCGCGTCCTTATTAGGGCTTTTGACTGTATTTTTTTGCTGGCCCCGAGGCCCGGCAAGGGACCTCAGAGGCTGAAAGCTGCTCGGGATCTTCAGCCGCGAACGTTTGCACAGCGCGAGGATGTCACCGAAGCGCCCACGCCGTGGAGCAGATGCAGAGCTGCCGCCTTCCCCAACAAAAGCCTCCGACGGCGGTTGCGTATGGCCCCAGCTTTCTGTTGCACCCCTTGTGCTTAAGGACCACATCCCAAACATAATTTTGAGCACCCGGAGGAGTATCGAAAATTATGTGGAACGAGTATCGCCTCTCAAGGCCCGACACGTGAGAACCCTCCCGTTTCGGTGGTTTCTTGATGCTCGAAATTCTTTCTGATGATCAAGGCTAAAACAGGTTGGAACATCATAACCCCAGCTGGCGAATCGAGTCGCAACGAATCGGATCGTAGAGGCGGACCTGCCTCGCCTGCTGCCACCCATGTGCGGGGAACCCGTGGCGCCAGGAATGCTCACTGCACCGACCCTGCAGACGTGCTGCAGTGCATTTTTGCGCGGATTTCTGCCAAGAAGAGACCCCGAAACGGCGAGCGAAACACGGGATGCATTCCGCGTGGCTTGTCCTGAGTCTTCGTCCCCGGCCAAGAAAAATCCGCACGAAGGTCACCTCGAAATCCAGAACGAAAGTCTCCAGGACACTCCGGGCCATCCTACCGTCTTCGGAACGAGCTCAGCTCTACGATGTTGGCGCGGTGAGAGTGCGCCCCCACGGCTTCTGCCCTGCGCGCCTGGCCGCCCCGAGAGGGCCAGACCTTCCCCGAGATGGCCAGACACCGGGCGGCCGTGAGGGTCCGGGAGGCCTCCAGGAGGGCTCCACGCGGCCCCGCAGAGGACTCGCACAGCTCAGGACGGCCCCGGAAGAAGAGGCGGAACACCCCCCCCAGAATGACCACCCCGACAGGCGAAGTCGTTTAGTAAACGCGCCCGCCCAAAGAAGGAATGACACAGGGCAGGGCTGCTTAGTGAACGCCCAGGGCCGTTTAGTTCTCCCTCCCTTGAAGAAAATCCCTCAGGACGACCACTCAAGAAGCCACTACCGAGGACAGCCATTGTCGACGTGCTCATTTTCCCAAACAAACAAAAAAGCAATTGCACCAGCGGCTTTCCTTCGTTTTATATTGTTATTATTGTTATTGTTATTGTTAATGTTATTGTTATTGTTCTTATTATTTTTATTATTATTGTTAGTACTTTAATTAGCATTGTAACAACTACTACTACTACTACTACTACTACTACTACTACTACTACTACTACTACTACTACTACTACTACTACTATTATTATTAGTATTATTATTACTATCATTATTATTATTACTATTATTACTATTACTATTATTATTTAAAAAAACAGCTGGACGGTAATGCCGGGGTCTTGCCTGGTGCCCGGTGCGTTGCCGCCCGTGGGCGATGATCAGACGACATCGGATCGGTAAATCGGGTCGGATCGGACTGCGCAACGAACCGCACGGAGTCGGAATCGCCTCGGAGCGGCCGCACCACGGTGCACAGCGGCGCCGTGCGAGTCATCGGGGCACACCGACTCAGACATCCGCCGATCTGATTTCTTCCATCCGCGGCCCCAAGAGGTCCCGACCCCCGATCCATCTTGGAGGAGGAGGAGGAGGAGGAGGGGGAGGAGGGAGGAGAGGAGGAGGAGGAGGAGGGAGAGGGGAGAGGAGAGGAGGAGGAGGAGGATGGAAGGAGGAGGCGGAGGAAGAGGAGTAGGAGGAAGGAAGGAGGAGGAAGGAGGAGGAGAGGAGGAGATAAGGAGGAGGAGGAGGAGGAGGAGGAGGAGGAGGGGGAGGAGGAGGCCCGGGGGGTGGTTTTTCGTCCCGGATCCATCTTGGACGGCCCCTGGGCCCGAGAACGGGCCCCGAGAGGCCCACGTCCAGGCGAGACCGCCGGGGGGAAACAGAAATCCGATCCTCGGACCTCCGGGGAGTCGCCAGGGCGTCTCGGGCCGGGCGCAAGGGGGGTGATAGCAAAAGGGGGTGTGTGAGAATCAACTCACGCAGCTGATTTTCCCGGCGCCTCCCGGCGGTGGGGGCCCAGCGGCGGGCCGAGACCAGCTGCATGCAACAGATTTCGTACCCCCCCTTTCCCTGTCCCCCCCTTTCCGAACGTCGGAGCCGAGTCGGGTCGGGCGGGGCGACGTCGATCGGATCCCCTGCGCACAGCCAGACCCACACAGCAGCTTGCACCACGCTGCTTCCACCGCCGTGCGGCCTGTGCCGTCGAGCTCGGCGGCGAGCCTGGGAGAGACCTTCGAGGAGGAGGAAGGAGGAAGAGGAGGAGGAGGAGGAGGCGGAGGAGGAGGAGGAGGAGGAGGACAAACTAGGTCCGCTCGCGTCATGTCTGACATCCTGCCCCTCCCTCCCATCCCTTACCATGTCGCAGATCCCCTCTCCACTGGCTCAGTCGGATGTCGAGCAGGGCAATGATGTGTTCGCGATGCATTGTAGAGCACGGCGCGGCATGGAGTAGAACAGCACCACAAAGCGTAGTATCAACCTAATATTGCAGTGCATGCCGTGGCATGGCACGGGAAATGTCGCCAGCGCTGCAGCGGGAGCAGGAGTCGAAACGAGCGGAAGCGCGGAAATGAGGCCAGCGCTGCAGCGGGAGCACGATTCGGAACGAGCGGAAGCACGGAAATGAGGCCAGCGCTGCAGCGGGAACACGATTCGGAACGAGCGGGGCCCGAAAATGAGGCCGGCGCCTCATCGAGACCAGCATTTTGAAAACAAATGCAGGCGAAAACCCAACTCCGGGGAAACCTGTGTAAAAAAACAATGCGCGGGGGGGTCGGACACTCCCAGGCCGTCATCAGGGGAAGAGGGAGAGTAGTGTTCATATTGAGTATTTGTGGAAGAGGAGGAGAAGGAGGAGGAGGAGGAGGAGGAGGAGGAGGAGGAGCGCTAAGGTAACCGATTGTTTGTTCAACGAACTGAAGACGAGCCGCATCCAGCGGCAGCCTGGCCCGAACCTCCAGCCCAGCGTGAAGCCTGAGCTAGGCCAACGCCAGAGACGGTTCGATCGGGGGCCAACTACGCCTCACCCCGTTTGAAGTTCTCGAGGAAGGAATTTCTCGAGGAAGGCCACACCCGTTGGCGTAGCCTGCTTGCAGGCCCTGATAAGATTCTGGCGCTTCTGGTGGCGTGGGAACCACACGTTGAGCATATGTATGTGCCCTTGCTAGATATAACCATATCATGAGACGGGTCAACATAGCGCGCACCTATGAAAACATTGCTCAGGACTCGGGCTTGACGCTCACGCAGGGGGTGGCCAGAACATCTTGGGCAGCTTTGTTCCCGTGGGGGTTCGTGGAGATGACCGAGCAGCACATACTGCAGGCGAAGCGACCAGTCGGGCCTGCTTCGCTTACGGGAATCATGTTATGCGCACTCTCGCGCTGCTGCCTGGCTAGCTTGGGACGACGATTCAATTTGGGCCCTGCAACCTTCTTGGCCTGAGCTTTGACTCGGGCTCGGGGATGGGGCTGGGGGCCTGTAGATTCGGAAAACCTCGAGAGAAAAATATCGCAAGCTCGGATCCTCACAGCGCGGGTCAGACTCTCTGCTAACTGGACGGCCTCGACAACTCTTGACGGGAGCTGGATCTGCTGGGACATTTCCTCCGCCACCTTGTTTGCAATGTGATTGCCAACCGGAGGGGGAGGGGGAGGGGGAGGAGGAGGAGGAGGAGGAGGAGGAGGAGGAGGAGGAGGAGGAGGAGGAGGAGGAGGAAGAGGAGGAGG